CCAGAAACCACATGAGTACTCAGACCTGAAGGTCCAGGTCCAGAAACGACGTGAGTACTCAGACCTGAAGGTCCAGGTCCAGAAACGACGTGAGGATCAAGATTTGTTTATTAAAAAAAAGCTGTTGTGTTTGCTGCTGTAGATGAAATCCTAAATTGGGGGGGGGGGGGGGGGAGTGAGGCTGCATAGGGGGGGAGAGTGGGGACAAGGTGGACAACGAGGAACAAACCAGGCTGTGATTTTTTTTACATTCAACCTTTATTTCTGCAGGTTGGTCTCATTGAGCCTCGAGGACTCGTTTAAAGAGAGACCTGATTTAACAAAGAGTGAAGACAACAGTGGACAATCATAAAGGATGCGTACAAATGGAGTACTTATACAGCTCCTTTCTATCTTATCGAAATACTCAAAGCTCTTTACAACAATCTGTGCCTCATGTACCCATTCATACAGCTCTATACTAGATCTCTACAGAGACAATTGATCAAATCATTCTAAAGAGACTAATCAGAGCGTCATCACATTCAGACACTGATGGGACACATCGGAGGCTGTGAGGGGTTCAGTGTCTTGCCCAGGGACACTTCAACATGTGACTGCTGGTGGAATCGAACCCCCAACTCTCGCATTGGAGGACGACTGCTCTAACCACTGAGCCACAGCCGCCCATATAACAAAAAACAGCTAGATTAGAAACTCTTCATCTGGATCTGGTCTCTCATGGTTCAGGTCTCTTTGGTTGGCCTTGTAGCTGTTTTAAGTGCTTTATAAATAAAGTGGTATGGTAGGTCTATGGACCCTGTCCCTCCTGGTTCTGGTCTCTGGATCCTGTCCCTCCTGGTTCTGAAGTTTGTTCTTTGGACCTCCATTTGGGTCGGCCTCTGATGGACAGGGAGGTTCTGCTGTCCTGCAGGATGTCTCTGAGGACGTTGGACCGTTGTCTCCTGATGTCTTCAGCGGTTCCGATGAGTCGGATCAAACGGTTCTGTTTGTTTTCAGATCACAGCCGAGGAGCTGACGGGGAATGACGACTACATCGAGCTCTCCTTCAGCGCCAGGAAGCTGGACGACAAGGTACCGGTTCTGACACCCAGGTTCTGGTTCTGTGAGCTGAATGTCAGAACAGAATCAAAATCCAAACGTTGGTTTTGTTGACTCTTTAATTCAGAACTAAATGAAAGTTTTTTGTTTCATGAGACGTTGCTGCGTGGGCAGCATGGTGGCACAACTGGTAGAGCTGCTGCCTCTCAGCGAGCAGGTCCCTGGTTCAAACCCCGGTCCAGGGGCCTTTCTGGGTGGAGTTTGCATGTTCTCTCCGTGCATGCGTGGGTTTTCTCCGGGTACTCCGGTTTCCTCCCACAGACCAAAAACATGCATGTTGGACTGATTGGTAACTCTAAATTGTCCCTAGGTGTGAGTGAGAGAGTGAATGGTTGTTTGTCTCGTTTGTCTCTATGTGTCCCTGTGATGGACTAGAGACCTGTCCAGGGTGTCCCCCGCCCCTCGCACAGTGATTGCTGGACATGGGCACCAGCGACCCCCGTGACCCAAAATGGAATAAGCAGGTAAAGATAATGGATGGATGGATGGAGACGTTGCTGCTTCCATCCCAGATTTAAACAGAACCCCTGAGGTTCTGTGTGGTTCTGTCAGGTTCTGTGTGGTTCTGTCAGGTTCTGTGTGGTTCTGTCAGGTTCTGAAGGATGAGCTCCTGTGGTCCAGTTCTGCTCTGAACTTTGTCCCCCGTCTCTTTTAGGATTTTTTCAGCAAATCTGATCCGTTCCTGGAGATCTACAGGCTGAACGATGACGCCACCATGCAGCTCGTCTACAGAACCGAGGTTCTAACAGACAAACATCAGAACGTTTCATTAAAGAACAGGAACCATCTGGAAGCATCCAGAAGAAAGTGACCTGGATTCAGCACTGATACAGATGAGATGAACCGTTAACATCTTACCTGCTGCAGACGGGTGCTTGTGGAAGCAGAGCTTGGTTCTGACAGGACGTGCACACGTCTGACGAGCGCACGTTGTTTACTTGGAGTTCTGTACTTGTTTACAAACAGAGCAGCAGCTAGCTGTAGCACTTGTGGTGCAGATTGTGACTTCCTGTCTTCAAACTTTCAGTTCACATGAACACAGTTCTTCAAACACCAACGCTCATAATCCGGGTAATAATAAGTCAGGTCATCTGGACGGTTTCTTTTGTTGCTGAGACGTTTCCTCCTTCATCCAAAGGACTTCTTTGACCTGAGGAGTCACCAACAAACTGAATCCCACAAGCAGCTCACTCCCAGAGTGGAAAAAAACCAGTTTGCTGGTGATAAGATGGCCTCCGGGGCCCGCCCTCTCCTCCGTCAACTCCTCTGGCAGCCATTCCAAAGTGGTTCAAAACACCAGCAAACTGTTTTTTCCCACTCTGGGCGTGAGCTGCTGGTGGGATTCAGTTTGTTGGTGACTCCTCAGGTCAAAGAAGTCCTTTGGATGAAGGACGAAACGTCTCAGCAACAAAAGAAATCGTCCAGATGACCTGACTGAACATTGTTGGACAGTTATTAAACTTTCATCACGTCATCTGTTTATCTTAAGACGGTTATATTTAATATTTCTGCAGGAAGTGCTAAAGCTAGCTGCTGCTGCTAGTAATGCTAGTAACAGTTTAATGTGAAAGTGGCAGCAAAGTAACAGTTTGTGAAATAAGTATGCATCGCTTCAAGACTAGCCATTAGTTCATCAGTCTGGTAAGAATTCAAAGAGTTATCTGCAGCAGGTAAGATATTAGCTGTGCATGACCTCTCAACAGAACCCCACTTCAAAATGACAACATCTCTTTAAGTCTTTAACACATCTGTAGCATCTGTAGAAGCCTGCAGCAGGCTGAAGGACCAGAACCTTCACCCTGATGTGGGTCAGGTCTACAGGTCTGATGCAGGTCTCAGTGGACTGGTTTTGTCTCTGTCTCCTTCAGACGGTGATGAATAATCTGAATCCTGTGTGGAAAACCTTCAAAGTTTCTCTGAACTCTCTGTGCAGCGGAGACCACGAGCGGAAGCTGCAGGTACACACACTGTCTCTGTCTCTGTCTGTCTCTTTCTGTCTCTGTCTGTCTGTCTTTTTCTGTCTCTCTGTTTGTCTGTCTTTTTCTGTCTCTCTGTTTGTCTAATGTCTGTCTGTCTTTCTGTCTGTCTCTTTCTGTCTCAGTCTGTCTCTCTGTCTGTCTCTTTCTGTCTCAGTCTGTCTCTGTCTTTTTCTGCTTTTTCTGTCTCTCTGTCTGCCTGTCTCTCTGTTTGTCTAATGTCTGTCTGTCTTTCTGTCTGTCTCTCTGTTTGTCTCTCATCATGCAGCTAGCCTGGTGAGCTAATATAGCCTGCAAGCTAACTCTTAAATACAAAGTCTAGCTAGCGGCAACGCTCGCTAATCCAGCTGACTTCCTGCTCCGCAGCTCAGAGGTCAAAGGTCAGAGCTCAGCCTTCCTGTCACACACGGGTCACCGAGGACGAACCACAGAGTTGGACTGAATATTTATCAAATTTAATGTACAACAATGTAAAACCTCAAAGTTTTAAACATTTATTTATGTCTCTGTCCCATGGGCTGTCCTGTCTCTGTCCCTCATGCTGTTCTGTCTCTGTCCTGTCTCTGTCCCTCACTCTATCTCTGTCCTGTCTCTGTCCTGTCTCTGTCCTGTCTCTGTCCTGTCTCTGTCCCTCACTCTATTTCTGTCCTGTCTCTGTCCCTCACTTTGTCCTGTCTCTGTCCCTCACTCTGTCCTGTCTCTGTCCCTCACTCTGTCCCTCACTTTGTCCTCACTCTGTCCTGTCTCTGTCCCTCACTCTGTCCTGTCTTTGTACCTCATGCTGTCTTGTCTCTGTCCCTCACTCTATCTCTGTCCTGTCTCTGTCTCTCACTCTGTGTTTTCTCTGTCCCTCACTCTATCTCTGTCCTGTCTCTGTCCCTCACTCTGTCCTGTTTCTGTCCCTCACTCTATCTCTGTCCTGTCTCTGTCCCTCACTCTGTCCTGTTTCTGTCCCTCACTCTATCTCTGTCCTGTCTCTGTCCCTCACTCTGTCCTGTCTCTGTCCCTCACTCTGTCCTGTCTCTGTCCCTCACTCTGTCCTGTCTCTGTCCTTCATGCTGTCCTGTCTCTGTCCCTCAGTGCACGGTGTGGGACTGGGACTCTAATGGGAAACATGATTACATCGGTGAATTCGAGGCGTCGTTTAAGGAGATGAGAGGAGCCATCGACGGGCGCCAGGTGAGCGGTTCTGGTCCAGTTCCTCTGAAACAAACACAAACGTGATAAATTTTTTTATTTGTTTCTGTTTTTGAAAAGAGACGACCCCCCCTCCATGTCAGACGTCTGTCTTTCCCCCCGTCTGTTTTTGTCCCCTGTAAGATCCGTGACGAGTCAGAATAAATCTGTTCTCGGTGTTTTAAATTCATATTTTATTTCAAAGTGTAAACAGAAAACTGTCTCATTGAATCTGACTTCAAACCAGAAACCAGGAATCTGACAGAGGTCTGAGCCCAGCTGGCCCTGACCTTTGACCCCGGCAGGTCGGCTGCAGCGGACAGAGGCGGGGCGAGCTCCTAAAGACAGATCTGTCAGGCTCTGCTTCCACCTGGCAGGACGAGAGGTTCCTGAGCAGAGGAACAGCCGGTGCAGCTCATTATCCTCCGACTGCTGCTCGTTGTTTCAGTTCAGCCTCGGCTCCGTGTTCTCGGCTCGTCTCTGCCGCGAGCTCACGCTAAATGATGTCAGATCCTCAGCAGCTGGTTTCCACAGAAACCCCAGACTCTGGGGGAATTCCTCCTCCTGCTGCTCCGATTCCACACAGGAGCAGAACGTTTTCACCGTCTGCTCTGGAACTGATGGCAGAGGCGAGTCCGGTCCCCCCGGGACTCCGCCTCCTTGTTTCCTTGCCTCTTTCTTTATTGGCCTCCTTCCCGGAGGAAGGAGCCAGAGACTCCAGGGAGCTTTCTGTTCATCCTCATCCTAACACAAACTGAGTCAGAACCGCTGGGTGTCACCAGGTTTTCATGGACGACTGGTCTCCTCGGGTGGTGTTTGGTTGGTGCTGCAACTAAAACATCCTCGTTGTCTTTGGTCTTTAACTTTTACTTTACATCTTTCACTTGTTCAATTCAATTCAGTTCATTTCTAAAGCTCCAAATCACAACCAAGTTGTCTCAGGGACTTTACAGGAACATTCACATAAAAGCCAGTTAGTAAAGTTCTCTATCTAAGGAATCCAGCAGACAAGTTGAATCTTGGCTTCGTTGCAGTCTCCCATCCTGAGCAAGCACAGTGGAGACAGTGGAAAGAAAAACTCCCTTTAACAGGAAGAAACCTCCAGCAGAACCAGGATCAGGACAAGAGACCATCTGCTTTGACCGGCTGGTTGAGAGGACAGGAAGGAGAGACAGACCAACACAGAATGGTAGGTCCAGGTATAGGTCCAGGTCCAGATGTAGGTCCAGATATAGGTCCAGATATAGGTCCAGGTGTATCTGAAAGACAAAACCACATGTTAATGATAGAAAAAATAATTACAAATACAAAACAGGTTGAGCAGAGTAAGTAAAGACAGTAGAGTGAAAATTGTGGTCAGTTTGTCCTCCAGCAGTCTAAGTCTATAGCAGCAGAACTAAGGGACAGCTCAGGAAACCCAAGCCGACCCTAACTATAGGATTTATCAAAAAGGAAAGTCTTAAGCCAAGTTTTAAAACTGGATAATGTGTCAGCCGGTCTCAGGGCAGCAGCTTGAGCAGGGAGGTCCACACATCTCTTCCAGCCCTTCTGGGATGACTCCAAGGTGTTCCCAGGTCAACTGAGAAGCATGTGCCTGTTGTCCACTAGTGCCTCTGCAGCACGGTTCGACTTGGCTCAGCTCTGTTCAGCACAGTACAACTGGTTTTCCACTACACTCCATAACAGATCTAGTGGGCGGGTTCAGAGTTCAAAAAATGACGTCACGCGCCTCATCAGCTGGTGGTAAGACCCTGAAACAGGTTTCAGTACAGGGTGAGAAGTTATTTTGAAGTTTATGTTAAAAAGAATACAGTTTATTAAAATGATCAAACAAAACTATATATATATATATATATATATATATATATATATATATATATATATATATATATATATATATATATACATCATGCTAATGAACTTTTAATTAACTTCAGTTCACCGTTAAATCTGTGATGAACCAAATTCTACAAAAAAATCCACCCATCCATCTTCTTCCTCTTATCCGGGGTCGGGTCGTGGGGGTAGCAACCTAAGTAGGGAGGCCCAGACTTCCCTCTCCCCAGCCACTTGATCCAGCTCCTCTGGGGGAATCCCGAGGCGTTCCCAAGCCAGCCGAGAAACATAGTCCCTCTAGCGTGTCCTGGGTCTTCCTCTGGGTCTCCTCCCGGTGGGACGTGTCCGGAACACCTCACCAGGGAGGCGTCCAGCCCGGGGAGATGATGCCCTGCCCGGCCTGAGGAAGCTCCCAAGCTTTGGTGGGGAGGACCAGGGTCGTCGGCCACCAAGCACAAAAAACGCGTGCACTTCAGCATTAGACCATGGTGTTGTCATTGTCGTTTTCAAAATATTAAAAGTAGCTCCAGTCGCTCCTCCGAGTTCGAGTTATTGCAAATGTCGGATCGGGTTGTTGTGACAGTTGCTCAAACAACCAGTGACTCCACCTCCTAACCAGTCAGTGACCGACAGTGTTCTGATGTCACATTTTAAGGCCAGCACGGTACACTTGGAACCACAGCAAAGTTGGTTCTGAAAAAGGGGCTGGTTCCACGAATCATTGCTAGTGGAAAAGTCTTGGAACCGTGCAGAGCCAAGTTGAACCATGCTGTAGAGGTGCTAGTGGAAAAGAGGCAATAGTCTCTCCAGCATGTCCTGGGTCTCCTCCCAGCCAACTCCGGAGTCCGAAGGAGACAGTCGACTCCTCTGGACTCCAGAGTTTATTATTCAGGTCTCTTTTGTAAACGAGTCCCCGAGGCTCAATAGGATTAACCAGTATAAATAAAGATTGAATGAAAAAGGCCCAGTAGGACTCCTTCTTCAGCTTGACAGCTTCCCTAACCCGGGGTGTCTGCAACCAAGTTCAAGGATGGCCACCATGAGAAGCACCATAGCTCAAGACAGCCACTTCAGCAATTACTGACTCAATGTCGTCCCCCCCCCCCACCCCCCCACACACACACACACACACAGCTGGTATGGGATTAAAGCTCTCCCGGAAGTGTGAGTTTATTATTTTATTGTTAGACCTGGTTAGTTTCCACTGAGCCTCGAAGACTCATTTACAAGAGAGATCTGTTACATACAACACACAGGCAGATGAGAGAAAGAGAAAACGAGGATGGAGGAAGCCAAATAAAATGTATGTCTCACACCATGTCCTGGCTGAGAAACAGTGTGAAAGATGAAATAAAAAAGACCTCGCATCATAAACAGCGACATACAATGACATCATAATACATTTATGCATAGAGGTTGACAAGGCCGGTGAGTTATCCATAAACACTCCAGAGTAGCAAAGTTCTGATAAGATGGTAGTGTCTATCAGCGTCATGGTTCTGATAAGGCCGCAGATGTCCTCAGGGGGAGGGGCAAGCAGAGCTTCTAGTTACGTATCCTCCAGGAGCAATTTGAGATAAGATGGCTTGTCCAAGGTCAGTGGAGTGGCCAAATTCAGATAAACCACAATTGTTTGGGCCACCAGACTCTGACTTCTGTCTGTTTCAGTTCTGCTGGTGCACTCAACAGTGAATCCAAACAGCCAGAATTAGTGGACATTCCACCCGGTCCATGCTCGATTTAGCATTCTCCAAGATTTAATCCTTCATGCTGGTGAGTTCCAGGAGACGCTAGTGGCCTACGATTTTCAGAAATCATGTCAAGCTTGCAGTTGAGCATATGAGTCTGAGAGCTCGAAGCACGGATTGTCCTTCAGATAAGGCTGGCAGCTTTACCGTGGCAGAAACTGCTGCCGACGTTTTCCTAATTTGTCAATATTCAAGGTATCCTACAATTCCAAAAAGCAGAAAACTTGTTATCATAAATCCAATAATGTACACATCTTCTATGTCCTCCACGGACAGCACAGATAGGCACACCATCTTCCACTCATTCCAGGAATCCATGACATACCCAGTTGCGAGGGTCCGTTCAGGGCATGAGGGCTCTCCAGCACCCTGTCGTCTGGTGGGAAATTTTTCATCCCAGGTTTCAGATGGGCGTGCTCTGTTTGCACGTGTTAAAAGCTTCTGAGAGTCCAACAGGAGCTTGGCTTGAAACACAGCAATGAAGGCTACTTACAGGACAATCTGGTTGACAGGCCGCAGACTGATGAAGTCCTCTGGATGGGGGACGAAACATTTCTTCACTTAAAGAAAATGGTCCAGATGACACGATTTAACCATTTTTGTTGTTATATACCTGGATGATTGAGCTGTCAAAACTTTATTCTCCAAAGTGGCATCACAGTGATTATTCTGGTCAGAGATTCATGAGTCTAACAGCCTCAGGGTAGAAGCTGTTCCTCAGTCTAGTGGTTCTACACTTAATGCGCCTCAACCTCCTTCCTGAGGGGAGCGGGGCAAAAAGTGTGTGTGCTGGGTGAGTGGGGTCCTTCATGATGCAGGCGGCCCTCTTCCTACATCTAGAGGTATAGATGCTACGTTTTACAGATACCCAGAAGCAAAGACTGAGAGGTAAACAAACTCCAAGACTAAGAATATATATTAAAGTGACTTTATTTACAGTGTTCAAGAACCCTGGGGGAATAAGAGCAATGATTAGTTAGTGTTTTCCAAGAGGGTGATGATGGCATGAAGGTCTTTGTGATAAAAGGTGGTAGTGTGTATGTCAGGAAGGCAACCGAGGAGACTTCAAGAGATTCTAAGCATGTCTCTCACAAGTTCCAGATTCGGGTAGATCACAAGAAGGTTGTTGCTACAAGGCAAAAGCAGACAGGTCAGTCTTACTCAGACAAAAATGATACTGTATAAAAGGCTAGAAGCACTACTACCATAGCAGGCTCAATGATCCAGCTTTGAGAAGAGTCATCTGCTCCTCTTTTTACTCCAGGTGTCCAATCAGTAAGATTCTTCTAGCTGTGCCATGTGCTAATGCCCTCTGGTGTCTTCAGAGCAGCAGCAGCCAAACAGGAAATCCAACAACAGGTGTCTGTGATGGTGGGGAGACTGACTCCAATATCTTCTGTGCAGCCTTCACCACTCTCTGCAAGCTTTTCTTTCTGCAGCTGTGCAGCCTCCATGCCACACGTTGATGCTGGAGCACAGGATGCTCTCCACTGCACACCTGTAGAAGGAGGTGAGGACTGAGCTTCCCAGACCAGCTCGTCTCAGCCGTCTGAGGAAGTAGAGTCTCTGATGAGCTTTCTTCATCAGGCTGGTGGTGTTGCTGCTCCAGCTGAGGTTGTTCAGGTGCACACCCAAGTACTTGTAGCTGGAGACCACTTCCACTGCAGATCAGATGTAATCAGAGTTTGACTTAAACTTACACAAAGATGAACATCAATTGATTATCTTTGGAATCAATCTAATACAAGATGGCTGTCAGTCAACTAAACTGTGAAAACAGAAAAATGACAAATATAGAGTTAACATTTAGTGTAGGAGGAGTTCACCTGTGACCTGTGAAGTTTGGCATCATTCTACTCTTCCTGGTTGTATCCCAGGTGAAATGCAGTACAGTAGTCCCTTGCTACTTTGTGGTTCGTTTATCGCGGACTCTCTCTATCGCGTTTTTTCAAAGTAAGACTGGACATGATTTACAAAGTATATATCAAATACTGTATATATATATATATATATATATATATATATATATATATATCCCACCACGCTCCCACCACGCTCCCACCACGCTCCCTGAGGTCAGCGGACCAGTTGCTCCTCACAGTTCCAGGAACTCGTCTTAAGCGCAGAGGTGACAGGGCCTTCTCTGTAGCAGGACCAAGACTTTGGAACGAGTTACCTCTGTTTGTCAGACAGGCCCCCTCCCTCTCGGTTTTCAAGTCCCGTTTAAAAACTCACTACTATTCAGTAGCTTTCAACACCAGATGATCTGTGTTTTGATCCTGTATGCTCCACACTGGTTTGTCATCATTATCTGCATCGTTTTTATGTCTATATTCTGATTTACCTCATTTTGTATTTTGCTTTGTGTGTTACCTGTTGTTCTGTCTGTACAGCACTTTGGTTGGCCTTGAAGCTGTTTTAAGTGCTTTATAAATAAAGTGGTATGGTATGGTATGGTATATATACACATACATATATCATATAATATATAGTGTATATGTACTAAAATAAACTATTACTTTCTACTTGTACTACTATTCCTACTTCACAGGTTTTCACTTAAGGTGGGGCTTCAGGGTTTGAATCCCCAGTGATAAACGCGGGACTATTGTAATTTAAAGTGTTTTAACGGTTTGTTGTTTTAACTTCCTGTTTTCTCCCATCTCTTCCTGTTTGCTGCAGGTGCAGTGGCCATGCATGAACACCAAATATAAAGTCAAGAAGAAAAACTACAAGAACTCTGGGATTGTTATTCTGAACCAGTGCAAGGTGACGTCCTGCTCTCTTGCAGTCTTCTTCTGACAGAATGTTGGACAACACGTTATGTCTAGGAGTGACTCGACACTCCTGACATTTGCTGCCAGACGAGGCGGTGGCGAGGTGGAGTGGTCTGGGGAATCCTTTGCCAAGACCTGATAACATTTATCCTGATGACACTTGAAGTCCAGCTGCCTCCCTCTTCTGAACAAGGAGGCACAGGAACCAATGACCAATCCCCAATCCAATCCTCCTGGCCTCCTATCCTCCTGTCCTCCTGTCCCCCTGTCCTCCTGTCCCCCAGTCCTCCTGTCCCCCAGTCCTCCTCTCCTCCTTCAGCAGCAGCGGCTCATCTGATTGGTCATTGTTCATCAGCTGATGAAGCAGCAGTTTTAAAATCAGAACCTGTTTTTATTTTTCTGTCTGCAGATCATCAAGATGCACTCGTTCCTGGATTACATCATGGGGGGCTGTCAGATCCAGTTCACAGTGAGGACACACACACACACACACACACATCCTTCAGAGGTCAGATTCTGATCATCGTCCTGGTTTTGGTGGTTCTTGCGTCACCATGGTAACGGTGTCAGGGATGTTCTGCAGCCTCTGTGTATCTTTGCCTCCCTCATTGGGACGGAACCATCCATCCATCCATTATCTTTACCCGCTTATTCCATTTTGGGTCACGGGGGTCGCTGGTGCCCATGTCCAGCAATCACTGTGCGAGGGGCGGGGTACACCCTGGACGGGTCGCAAGTCCATCACAGGGCCACATAGAGACAAACGAGACAAACAACCATTCACTCTCCCACTCACACCTAGGGACAATTTAGAGTTACCAATCAGCCTAACATGCATGTTTTTGGTCTGTGGGAGGAAACTGGAGTACCCGGAGAAAACCCACGCATGCACGGAGAGAACATGCAAACTCCACCCAGAAAGACCCCTGGACCGGGGTTTGAACTAAGGACCTGCTCGCTGAGAGGCAGCAGCTCTACCAGTTGCGCCACCGTGCTGCCCGGGACGGAACCAGTTAACCTGATTTCTGCAGGGTTCTGAAGAAGCTTTCTGTCTTTGCTGCAGGTTCTCTTTATCGTAGCTGCTCTCTGGGCAGAGAGTGTTGGAGACAAAAAAAATAAAATAGAGTTTTCACTCAGAATCACTGAACAACTGATAACAAGAACCACGGTCACATTTGGGCCAGAACTTGCCAGGAAGATGCCAAATATTTCAGCTTTTGTTTTCTAGGAATCAGAAAATAAAGTGGGACAGGTTTGAGACAGGTTTGAGAAATCTCAGGGACTTTTCTGAGAGAAAACTTTTCTCCCGATATTTCCAAAGTTTCAGTTTATCTCTTTGTCTTCCTGCATGTCTTGAAGCGTTCTTTCTGGTCTCGGAGCGTTCTGGATGTCTTGAAGCCTTCTTTCTGGTCTCGGAGCATTCTTCTTGTCTTGAAGCCTTCTTTCTGGTCTCGGAGCATTCTGGATGTCTTGAAGCGTTCTTTATGGTCTCGGAGCGTTCTTCATGTCTTG